CCAGAGCAATTTCTCAGTAAGGAGCTCAACTATCATGGTCACACTGTGCTCTTGGGGAGAAAAAAAATTGCTTTCCACTACAAAATGTTTACATTGGCTGCCAAGGTTTCTCCTGATTTCCTCTGTTGGGAATGAATAATTAGGAAGTGAACTGGGAGGTGAAAAAGGCCTCTATGTGTTTAAGTCTAATGTCACAGCTTTCCAAGGACAAAGCTTTTAGAACACAGAAAGGTTTCTCTGTCACGCAGATGAATTCAATAGCTAAGCAAGACAGCAAGAAGAGGAGTCAAACAAAGCAGAGAATTCCCAGAAGGCAGCTTTTGGTATGCACTTAGGGCAGGTAGTGCCTGAAATGGATGCACAGCACACATATGTGGGACACACAGGCAACACACATAAGGTGTTAATAGTCTTAGCTGATGCCAAGGAAGAAAAAGAGCAGACAGGGTCAGCTACTGTTTCCTGAGCTAAATGTTCTTTTTCTTATGGTGGTCAGAGCCAGGGGTAGTTTTACAATGTGCAAAACATGCACTTGTAATTAAAGTGAAACTCACACTGACAGAGAAAGRGGATGGTGAATGTTGACCTCACATGCTGCATCTGTAGAGCATTTGGGGACACATTCTTTCAGCAGAAGTGATGTTGGCTTCTGATATTCTTTTTTAATAAAAGGTGAACAGCAATAAAATTCTGTGTTAATTTGTATGCATGGCATGAAGCCATTTCTCAGAAGGCAGTTCTGATGGTACATTAGAGTAGAAAACTACCCTATTATATTTTTTTAATTTTCCATCCTTCTGTTTAAAATCAGGGTTGTTGTCATTGCTTGTRAGCAATAGAAGTTAAAATAGTAAACAGGAGAAAAGACAAGTAAAAGCTGTTTTTTCTTTGTGTTGGTTTTCTGGTGTTAGGCTGTTCAATAATACCTTATTTAGGCAGATAAGTGCCCAATGTACCTCACTAACATATCTACCCAAGTTTGGCTTGCAAGTCTCTTTGGGAATCTACTCCTTTAAAAGAGACTTGGAACAGGAGCCACAGAAAACTTTGTTTATTTTCAGATGCATCTTGGCTGACACAGGTGGGCCTATAGAGAGAAATTCCTCCTCTGAGGAGGACTGAGGAATTTCAGTCAGAGCCAGTGTGCTGCTGACCCTGAGAAGGTGGAAGGAAGGACAATCCATAAGAATACAGAGGCTCCGATCCTCAGCTCTTGAGTCATGGCTTGAGCTGCTCTTTTCTGCTTGTCTGGGGGAAGATCTCTCCCCTTTTGGACTGGAGGTTGCTGGGGAACACAAGCAAATCTGCCCCCTGCTCTAGCCCTCCTAGACTTAYCTCCTGCACTAACCAAAGAATCAAGTACATCATCTTCCTTGCAGAGATAAGRGCCTTTAAGAGGCAGAGCACTCTGCCTTCCAACAAACTCATGCATAAAAGGTTAATTTAGAGGGTGAGATATCYGTGTATGTTGGACAAATGGAGAGCTGAAGGGATTATTTCTATTCCTCCCATTCTCTTAGCCGTGGCCAGTGAGTGCAGGTGGAACGTATGACTTTRCATTATGGAGCACCTCTCCATCACCCAGGCCTTTGTCAATTCACCAAATGTGACAATTACAGCATTTCAGAGATGAGACTTTCTAATCCTATTACTCATTCATCAACCTGCGGATGATAGCAGAAGCCAGATCGAACAGTGCCAAAAGAGCAGTGAGGAGCCTTCTCCAGTGCTGTGAAACTAGGCTTAGCTCAGGCACAATAGGTGTGTAATTTAAGGTTTTGTTGAGCTGAAATCCAATCACATACTTGACTGGTAGATCACAGAAAGACACAGACAAAAAGAATGAGATAATTCTACCTCACACAAACACTTGAATCCGGCTTTGACTTAATAACAAGTGTGTGATCAACCTTACACTGTTTCTTTCTTTTTTATTTATTTTTTTTTTAATTTTTATTTGAACCTAGAAGTGGGATGGCACTGAAATACTTTGCGTACTTGGGTGTCAGCCAATAGTATGAGGAAAAAAAAATACCAGAAAGAAATGGAGGTACTTGTTTAGATAAATAAGTTTTGAAAGTACAGATGCTTATTATATGAAAGATAATCAGAAAATTTAACTTCCAGGCTTAKCTCAGTGTTATCTTCTCAGAATCTGGTACCTGTTGCTTTCCCAAAGATGGAGAGGATCTAGCAGGAATATGAGGAGAACAAAGCTAAAAAAACCCCTTTGACTACAGGAGGAAAAGCTCTACTGTGAAAATTATTGCCCTCCCTCTCATGCTACTAAAATGCTCCTTTTTCTTTGTCCTGTTTCAGCCATGGAGCTCTGGTGTGGGGGGATGCTGAGTGCTGCAGCCCTGTGCCACTGCCTGTCATGTCACCAAAATGCAGGGGACTGGGAACGTGGAAGAGAGGAACCACGGTGTTTTGTGGAAGCAGTAAAGTGGGTTTGTTCTGTTGTGTGTTTTAAGGTGCAGCTTTTCATCAGATAGYGTGTTATTTATATTGAGTTTTGTAAAGGATAGCCTTCAATTCAGGCTGCTCTAGGAGTGGCCTTTGGTATTAACAGAATTAAGTGTAGGGCATGTAAGTTAAAAGCTTTGGAAAGAAAGCTCCTTGGAATAGGAACTTTCACATTTACGTCCATCATCAGTGCTTCCATATAGAGTATCAGTCCAGCTCCTCTGGCCARGTCCTCTGCCAAGACCAAACTTTAAAAACCACATTTCTATAGTTTCTTTGGGCATCTCAAGCTCTTTGAACTAACAAATTCAGTGGGATTAACTGTGCATGGAATTTGGTGCTAACTTGTAGGTGTCACGATACTCAGAAATGWATAACCCCAAACTAGAGGAGACATTAAAAACCTGAGAACAAGCCCACTGCTAGGAAAAATAGCAAAAAKCTTTAATGACCCAGGCCTGGCAGAGGAACAAGCACTTTAGTGTAGTGGTGGAGAAAGTATGGGGTTTTAAAGCCTGCAGATCAAGAAATGCTTTCAAGCCACGTTTCTTGAGTGGATCCCTAAGACTCCGAGTGCCTTAGACCAAATTACACAGCCAGTGGATCACTGGGGTGCAACCAGCCCAGGAACATTGGCAGGATGAAACTCTGTGGAAGGCAGCTGACAGAGCTCCTCTGCAGCCAAGGGAACACTGTGCTGTGCCTGTGCCAAAGCAAAGCAATCCCTGGTGTCAGTAAAGCAGTGAGCAGGGCAAAAACACAACAAGTCCAGAGAGACAAAAGTGAAGGGGACTCTTAGGCATCAAAGAGTTAAATTGAAGTTTGTAGCCTGGCATTAGTCGCAAAAGACCAAAATCCAAGCAATGTTTTGCTAATGAAAAAGTAAATAAATGAACAATTTGCAGGATATTAGACTCAGAAGGATACAGAAACAACATCAATTGATTTTTTTTTTTTATAATAAGTGAATTAGTGGAGAAAAATCCTACAGTGATGAAACTCATATTTAAACATGACAGAGGGAGATATYTTCAATGGCTCATAGGAATACGAGGAGATTGAGATATGTTCCAAACACAGGGAAAAAAGATATTCACAGCACAGTATAATCTGTAAAACTCAAACAGGGTTTAATGTGGTTCCCAAACTGCAGAGATCTCATAAACATAGTGATTTCCTTTAGCAGTATAAACTCTGACATTTGACCAGACAATTGCCTTGGGGACATTAGCTAAAATAGCCTCAGCTTTAAAATTGAAATATGAACTTCTAAAGTCTTTGGTAGTTTCTTTCCAGTGACAGTGAGACAGCCAGCATGACTAGTGAGTGTGTGCATGGTTCAGCACTTAGGCAAGTGCCCTCTCTTTAGAGCCATGCTTGTACACTGTGCTGTKTTTTTAATCAATATGCTCTCTTATGATATTATATTGCTGCAAAGTGTTGTGCAGATTACCAGTGAGAAAAAAAAAATGCTTTTTGTTACTGTGAGCTTCCCAATATCCTGCATTTGCTCACCTGTGTCGGCCCCTGACCCACATCTCCTTTAGCAGCCAAATCAGCTGCAGGGATAGCAATGGGATTTTCCTGCTTTTGTCCAATGTAACAAAGACAGTGAGGTACACCACCTTATGGCTTGTGCTGTCTTCCCCCCTCCAGAGTAATTTGTGTGCTCCCAGTAGAAAGAGAATGTAAGRACCAGTTTGGCAATATGGCCCTGTCAGCTCCATGGGCTCGTTCTCTGCACRCCAGCTCTGATGCACACAGATCTCTGCAGACTTCATCAGGACAGCAAGTGGGAATGAGAGTTGGGGACAAATCTGKTTTTTCCCGAACTTCTGAAATCAAGACAGCCAGAACAAATATCGCTTCTTCTACACAGCCTTTGCCTGTCCTCTTGTCCTTTGCAAACCTGTTTGAACTGCCTCACTAAAATCCTACTCTCTGCAGTAGTCTTTAAAGGTCAGCCTCCAAGGGCCAGTGGTGGGTGGTTTTGCATTACTTTTCTTCTTGCCTTCATACTCTTTCCCTTGGTTCCTTGTCAAACTCCAAGAAAAGCTCTTGAGAGCCAAGGAACTGGAGCAGCTTTGGCTTCAGAGAAATTTAAGTAGCATGTTTCTGTCTGTGCAGMTCCCAGACTGCTGCTGTCTGTTGCTGTGAGGTGTCAGACTCCATTGGTTGGTGACTAACAGCAGCAACACTTAACAGAGTTGAGTGAGGATGATGTTTAAGCATTTCTCATCCTAAGCAGCTACCATGGCAGCTGCAGAAGGCTCCTACAGTCTGCCTGTGCTCTGAATAACCTCTCTCACTATGGTTCACATTAAAAATTTTGATTATCTGTCAGACTGCTGCTCCCCTTCTCTTCAGCTATCAGAGTTGCAACACTCTGTAGAAGTCATTTACTTGCCAGCAGTACYGTTAGCCCTTTGTGAACAATTAAGCTGAGGTCGGAGGTTGTAATATATCAAATTTGCRGACCATATTAAATTTTATTTTTACTGAAAGGAACTTTTTGTCTCTTTTATCAGGAGGAAAATTAAGCTGTGAACTGGAATTCCATCAGGCTGTCTACTGCGAAGCCCCGTGGCTTTAGAAAAGGGGCAGCAGTGTCAGAAATGACACTCAAAAGGTAAATTTATTTCTTTTTTATTAAAAAGGATAAGTTATGACCTGTACAGTATATCTTAAAGAAGGAGGGATGTTAACATGATAAAATGCATTTTTCCATTTCTTTTAAAAAGCCTGATCTTGCCAGCCAGAGAAGTTCTGGATGGGAGAGAAGAGGATTCTSAGCTACCACTGAAGCTGCAGAGTATGGGCTTACCCAGCCTCTCTGCCTGCCCCACCACAGCAGCTCCTGGTTTTGGTTTTGGGGTGAAATGTAGGAGGTTCTCTTCTGGTCTGAAAAGAGCAGGGAATTGTGAACTAAATATTCTACCTAATTATAAATGAACAAACAGGTCAGGATAGGTTTTTGGAAAAAAGTTTCTGTTTGATTCTGGAGCTGGAAATTTCTTGAGATGAAGTTTTTAGAACCTTTRAAAACGCCTTCACTCTGGGCATGTTCTCTCACCAAACCCACCAGCTTTGTCCTTTAGAGATTACATTCGAAAGTTTTGTTCAAATTGACCATCTGTGAATTTTTGCCATTCTAAATAATTACAATTTAATACATGGAAACAATGCTATAAAACCAAACTGTGAAACCCTGTATTGTTCACTTGCTTGCAGAGAACAGACCTTTTGGGATACCGGGTCAGCACCCAGCCAGGCTGATGCTGCCTTTCACCTCTCAGGGTCTGTATCCTGTAGCTCAGGGGGAAGATTGTCTTCTGGACCTACATGTGCAAGTTTGTGCTTGTTCTGTTCACATGAGATAGCCCTTCATGTCCTGCACACGTTTCAGAGTTCCTGTGTGAGGCTCAGTACCCTGCTGGTCCTGTCACCCTTTACACAGCCTGCTCTGTGCACAGGGCTGCCCACCTGTGGGTTACACACAGACCTGGCTGATTCTGTGCACAGTGGCTGATGATATCAAATTAGGCTGCAAACACCCAAGAACCTTTTCATTTTTTCTGTAGGATTAAAGGATTGCCCTGCTATATTTGGCGTGGGTTTCTCCTCMCCTCTTTACTGCRCAGTGTTATGTTCCACTCATCCATATCTCCTGTGTTTCCACCCTGAAGAAGGCGGAATTTCAACAGCAAGAAAATGGATTCTATTGTGCKCTGTGTAATTTGAAAAACACCCTGTGGGATGAATTGTGCAATTTTAATATTCATTATCTCAAATGTAGACAATAGAGTAGACCTTAGTCGGGAAGACTGATTAGCAGATTACTGAAGATGGTTTTTTCAACTTGGCACATTATTGGATGATAAGTGAGTAAAACAATTTCTCAGGACCTGAATCTTTGGTATTAAAAATGCAGTGTAATGGCTGTGTGGGAGCCATCCTTCAGTAAACACATACATGGGAGCTCACAGGCCATGCAGGGGTAGAACTGGCTTCCTTTGTAATCTTGGGCCTTACTGGTTTAGCAGCTGAGASCAAGAGGTTTCTGTTGCTCCCTCCAGCTCTAAATGAAAGACTGGAAAAGAGAAGGGGAACATGAAATCAGTCCATAAACTAAATGGTAATGTTTTAATTGCAATTCTATTGTTATTCTCCCTATTTGTCTATTTGTAATTGTGTAGTTTGCATATTCATTCCTTTCTTTCCTGAAAAGGTTTTGTTGTTGTGAGGTTTTTGTTTGTTTTTTTTTGCATAAGTTTGACTCCAAAAAGTGGGCAAACTTGTCCTTAATGGYCTATAAAGGAAAGAAAGAAAGGAAGGAAGGAAGAAAGAAGGGCTGTTTTCCCTAAATTCAAAGATTTCTATGGGATAAAGATACAAGGTGGATGTGGTTTTGTAGAAATAGAGACACTAAGATTTTTTTGTAGACAAGTGCAAATGAAATTATGTTTGGCAGCATGATTAGGAAATGTAATAAAATTTAGCTAAGCAAAAAACTTCTGTAACTGTCAGCTAAATGCATTCAAAGTAACCTGATAATTTTTATAAAGGCTGTAGTACTTGACAGTTCCTTTCTTCAAGCGAAGTCTTCTGGGGTATTCATTCTGTTAAAAACTTCAGTGAAAAGCAGCACTACGTACTGGCTTAGTTCCTTTCCCACAGAAGACAATATTCAACATTTTTTATTTCTTTCTTTTTAGCAAATAAGATGTAATCAATAGAATTCCAGTTCCTGTGAGAGAGAGAAGATCTTTTACTTCACACAACCRTCTGAGGAAGTAAGTTCATCTCCTTGTAGAAACGTTATCACAGCTACAACCTTCTTGACTAGTTCTTCGTGTCCTCCTGTCAAACATTGTTCTCATTACATGGACACTTCTCAGGGTTTTGTGTCAGTATGCCTTAGACTCATAAGAGACTGCTGGGGCACTGCACAAAGCTGTAGTATCTCCCATTTCCGTGGCTGCTTTGATAGGAACTGGGATGCTCCTCTTKCTCTGAGGTCGGGATGGATGGTGTTAGAGGGTTTCTCAAAGCCTCTGTCAGCCTCAGATGTGGGAACTGCACAGGAACTGGGCATAGACCAGGCTGACCTGAGGAACATTGTCTTTCATTGTAAAGCTAAAGTTACAKTCAATTCAAGAATTTTGGTGTTCTGTGCACCTACTGCACAAGATGAAGGAGTGGGGGGAGCCCACTGCAGACTCCAATCATGTCACCTGTCTGCAGCTGTCACCAGAGATGCTGGAGAGCAAATCCCCATCACAGCTATTTCCTGGTGCCATCRGATGATGTGTAGTGACTCAAAGGGTTGCTGAGGCTGAGAAAAGGACAGACAATGCAACAGACAATGTTTAATAAATTGCATCCTGAGATTTTTCAGTTATTTCCATATTTACACATACTATATTTTTTTAAAAGCTGTGCTTGTCTACCTTTTTTCCTGGCTTGTGGTCTCTCTGGGCCTGAGAACTTTGTCTTTCTATTTTGTCTGTCTCACAGACATAGTATAATGACAAACCAATCCCCTTGCTTCTAGTTAATGAATAGTCTCTAGTTTTTTGGTTTTTTTTTCCTTTTCAGGCAAGAGTGTTAAAGAAAGCCTAGCTTTCAGCTATTAAAAATATTCAGTGATATTTATGACAGATTTTCCCCTTCTTATTTCCTGCTGCACATAATCTTCAAGATCATTAAAGGGAAATTCTGAGATTTTCCRTGCTTAGTGCTAATGTAGCACTTGTTTCATAATGAAGCTTGAAATGGTGGGTTTTTGCTCTGCACATGATTAATGCTAAAGTCCACATCCTTATCTGATAGAAAACACCAAGAGCTCCACTGAAGTAAATGAAGTTAGGATAATTTGCATTGGTTGAGGATGTGGCCCAGTGTCTGGCTGACATTATCCTGCYTGCTGCAGTGTAGACACCAGCTGGGGTGCTGTTGTTTCATTCTGTGTGGGACAGGAAGGGTCTCAGTGGGGGAGAATGAAAGTGGAGAATGGTCATTAGCTAGCACAAGTTAGCAATGAGCTGTCTGAAGTAAAAGATGATTGAAATAAAAAGGAAAACTCTCCATAACGCAGTGAGGTGCATCTGAAATGACCTGAACTTGGTGAGGTCGCTCTGCTTTGTGACGCTCCAGAGGGATCAGTGCTCAGAGGAWTTCCTCCAGCCCATGTCTGTGATCAGGGCTGGGAAACTTCTCCYGTGCCCTGGGGTTTTCAGGGCTGCTTGGGGGCTGTACCTCAAAGCCATCTGGAGGCTCTAACTGCTGCTGTGCCAAATGCCCTGTTCCTCAGGTGGAGCTGGCAGGAACCAGTTCTTCAGCTGCGACTTGGCTTTCTATTTGCATTTGGATGGAAACCAAGAGGTTGTTTTTGTCTCTCTGACTTTGAATAGAACTCTCCTCCTTTAATCTGCCCTACTTCTTAAGCAGTGATGCTATGTGAAGTGCTGTAGCTACCTGCTTCTGGGTTTTTGTTTCAGAACACTTGAGCCATAATTTTCCTCACAGGAGGTGTCTTGCTGGAGGCACTGTCTCCCCTCCGGTGCCAAGGAGAGCACATCATGTCTCTGTGGCACAATGGAAACTTCTGGGGTTGTCATTCTGTCCAGCACGACTGAAACAGCTGTAAAATATGGTGTTCATTTTTAGTAGGATACAGCTGTATTCCTTGAGCTGAAGRAAGAGAGCCTATACAGCAAAATAGATAAAGTTTTTACTCAACCTTTCCCCTCCCAAATAATTTTTTGCAATAGATTTTCCACAAGTAATCTTCAATTAAATAAAACTTTATAAATACTTGATCTGGCCACTGTTTAAATCAGAATAAAATTCCTGTTGAACTGAATGAGGTCAGACTGGGGCTCTAAGTGAAAGTCAATACAGGTTTCAGTTCCTTCTTTCTCCCTCTTGCCTGATCCAGCATTTACACATAAGAAAGTTGGCCAGCTGTGAGTTGGTGATTCAAGAAGCATGGCCATGCCTCAGAAACCATTGCTCCAGCTGTCTCAGGCTGTTCTGGTGAGCCAGAGGTTTGTGCTCTTCAGCCCAGGGATAGAGAATTACAAATGTGTGCTGAAACAGAATCCAGAGTTCAGGGTGAGGACACAGTAGAACAAAGCCCATTGCTGTGGGAGAATTATAATAAATGGCATGAACAAAGCATGATCATTTCAAATTCTTGCCAAATGTGACTCGTAATTGTCACTTTCCTTGGGAATATGATCTGCTACCAAAAAAAAAAAAAAAAAAAAGCCCAAAAGCATAGAGAAAAAAAGAGAGAAGCTGGTGATTCTTTGGAATTAAAGGTTTAGGATATGACACGGGGAATTAGACATGGGCCTCCTGTTAGCAAGAATGTTGACCTCCATGCATAGTTCTGAAAATAAACCCTATATCCAGCTCAGCTGGATTTTTTTCTTTCACTGAAGCACAGGAATAGATGTCACTGAGGAGGAGAGTAGATCTCATGATTGGAAACTTTTGATGTCATTGTCGAATGCAGTTGTAAAACTGAGTGTTGACATGTAGGTGTCCGCGCCCATAATATTTACAAACCAAGATATGTTTGTGTCTAGCTTTTATGGTGATGATTAAATATTGCTGAGCATTTCATGGTAAATTTTTAGGCTTCATCAATTATTGCTAAAAATTGGGGTAAACAGGCAGCTATATTAAAACTGGGAGTATGGTGCATAAACTGTGTATTTTACCATGGATTTAGAGCTGAAAAACTGTTCTCCAGCATTCTGGATCCTTCAACAATCTTTATCATAGGCATGTGCTTTTGGCAGGTAGCTCCACTGAAGTCTGGGCACTGCTGATGCACTCTGAAGTCAACAGGAGGGTAAGGTGGCCGTAAAACAGTGTGCAGGACGCTAAACTGGGACTGGAATCATCAGCTCTCACTGCAGCCTGGGTGTGATCTGGATTCTCTCAGCCTCAGTTTGCTCCTGTGTAAACAGCGATGATCTCCTTTGTGAWGTTCTTTGACGCCTGCAGAAGAGTCTCGCTGTAAAAAGACTGGCTTGCTATTATGCAYATCTTCAAAACAAAGCTTAATGCTCTGAGCTGGGTTGGGTGCGTGTGCTTAGCACTTTGTGTGATCAGGCTGTAGATTACGTAGGCAGTGGTTTGTAATAAGAGCCTTATCAGTAACAAAAACCCTTCTGTCATTATCAGACAAGCAACAATCGTATTTTAAAATGGTTGCCAAATGTGTTTATTTGAAGATGGTTGTTTCTAGCATGGCTCAAACCATTGTGTGGCAAGTGTTCAATTGCTTCCCACTAAAGCCAACATTTATAGCTTGGAAAACTCTGTTAGATAAATGTCAGTTTCTGCCATAATTTGTGGAATCAATACAAACTGAGTCAAAGAATCACAAACAGTAATGTGAAAATAAAATGATCTGTGTTATGGTTTTTAAGTAAATGATGATAAACTAATAAATGCCATTAGCTGCTGCCATTACTTTGTTGAATTTAGCTGATGTTACTGTGTTGACTTTAAAAGCTATCAGCTTAACTATATAAATCCATTTGACATGTCTTTATTCAAATAAAACTTTAATACTGCAAGTGTAGCAAATTAGATGCAAATGCTCTTTTTATTTTAAGTATATTTAAAGCTGCCTTTTCAATGCAAATTTTACAGGAAATCTCAACAAGCTAGGACAGACATCTTAGCTGTCAGCATGCAGCACTTTCATTTCGGTCTCAGGCATGGGAGCTGCGTTTTGTCCCTGCAGACTGAGATAATTAAAACTACAGAGAGATGGTTTTAAATATACATGATACACAGTTACTTAAATTGTGGGATAATGCATAAATGCAGCCCTTAACATTTTTTGATAGCACAACATTGACCAGATAACATAGCGGAGTGGATTGCAGAAAAAAATACCTTTGTGTAAACAGTTTAATGTTTTGGGTTGTGCTTCTTTTTTATTTTTTTTTCTTTTCACATGAATAATTGTGGAAGCAAAGAAATACCAATTCAAAATCTGGTCTGTGAGTGCCCTCATTAAAAAGATACTGATACGATTAACTTTTTTTTTTTTTTAATTATGCTTTAACTTCTTTGTTTTTGAGCAGTCCATAGCCTCMTTGGAATACATATCTATTTCAGCTTTCATTTGCTGAACCCCCTGAATGAGTTTATCCAAACAATGTGAATTTACTCAGATCTTTTTAAAATCCCACATCTCTTGTGGTTGATAAAGCTGACTTTAGCTAAGAAGAGTTGGATCAGGGTGATTTAAATTTCACAGTGAAAATGATAAGGGCTTTACTAGAAATAATAAGCACATTCAAATACTGTCATGGGCAAACAGTGGAATGTGCAGTGAGAAATTTGGCAAGGCTRGTCTTTTACAGTGTTGATTTAATGAAGTAATGGATAGTAAAATAGAAAAAAATACTTGCATTCAGAGGTAAACTTATGTTAATTCCATATCAGTAGTTTTATAAAGCTTTATTCATTAAAAAGCAGCATTAATGGTCTAATAACTTTTAAAATGTCACGCTGTTTAAAAACAACAAAAACCCCAAACCAACCCACCAGCTAGGGAAGAGGAAGAGTCCCTTTTGGCAGTGCTCTACAAAGTAGCTGAGTGATACCCTATTATTGCCAGGAACCACATGTCAGTTTGTTGAGCCTGAGGATAACTTGTGTTTCAGGGAAAGAAAAAAAAAAGGCAAAAAAAATTTTAAAAGCCCCCATCCATTTAAGCTCCAGGGCAAACAATAATTGTCCCCAGTTTAAAGTTATTTTGAACATTTGCTTGTCGATTTACACAATACAGAGCCTCACCTTTCTCATTCCAGTGGTGTGGGGAATCTGCACAGCCCCAGTTGCAGGGGAAGGCTTGTTTGGTGCTCTTACATTTGCAGGATCAAAAGGTCCAGATCTATGAATCCAGATGTGCTTTTGAGTGAGAGCTGTTTTGAGCCTGCCTGTGGAGTAGGGAAGGGAGGAGAGCAGGAGACGGGCAGGAGCAGCCAAGAGAAGACAAAGTTATTTTTCCAAGCACTCTTCAGGAGCTTTATTCCCGCCATTAACAGGATTTGAGTATGGCAGGGAACTGGCATCCAGAATTAGTGTGTTCTGATGAGTGAGGCATTTGGGAAAAAAAAAAAAAAAAAAGAAAAGAAAATGTACTGTGCATGGCACTTTCAAGAAGAGGCGAGGGAGAAGAAAAGGGAAGAAACATCACTGTGTTGCCAAAGGGCTGAGGTTAAGAATCCCTCTGTGCAATTTAACAGTTTTTAATTCCTACATTTTAATGCCTCGCAGGCCATTGTGTCAGTCTACTTTAGCTCCTTCAAGGAGCCATCTCAGTGCTGCCAAGTGGATTAGCTCCCGGAGGGGCTGCGGGCTCCCCCCGCCGCTATGGGATCGCATCCATATCCATCACCCCCGGCACTCCCCCGCTGCTGCCCCGCGCTCTGCCCCTTCCTTTGGGCTCTCCAAACTCTCCGCACCAAACTGCCTGCCAGTCTCTGACTGGGATACGCTTTGTTTTTCACAGGTGCCCCTATGATTTTTTAATTTTTTTCCTTTTTTTTTTTCCTTTTTTTCTTTTTCCTTAAGGAAGATGGTAAAAATCTAATAGAAGGCTTCCTTTCATCAGCGCAGTGGAGAATTGGTCATTAGCAGACACGGAGAGATCAATATTCCTGCCCAACCTTTCTGGTTGCAGTTCCAGTCAGTAATTATATAGCTGTTATAAATCCATGAATATCGTGTATAAGGGAAAACTAATCTCTTCAAAACAGCTTATTTCCATAGTTAATGACCAGAGAACTACAACTGACTTTGTCACTGACAACTTCTTTGTGTTTGGTAAACAGATTTTGCAGGAATAAAATTATTCTAAGGTCAAAAAAAAAAAAAAANGAGGTAAAATTCCCCCATCCACCATCACACACATATTTCCTGCATTTGGCTCATTACTGGACAAGTATGTCCTTTAAGACCCAGAGATTAATGAGCCATTTTATGAGACTAATACATTTTAAATTTTAACACTGGACTTTGCATCTATAATTGTACAATTATACGTTCGTTTAGATTTTTTAAAGATAACTAATCACAGGTGACTAGAACTGTGTGAAAAGGCAGAATTTATGTTTCTCCTGCTGTAGGAGTACTAAATCATGCAGGAATTGAAATTGTTTTCCATATGACAGATAGCTCAGGCAAGATTAGTCAGTCACTGTTTCAGATATAATGCTTTTTTTATTATGCATACTTTATGTGGGACTATTATATATGTAACATATATTTCTGCATGCAGCAAATTAACTATTGTGTAATGCAAGGACCAAGAAAGAATATCATTAGTTCTTGCTATCCCGCAGTTTTGAGCAGCTGGTGAAATATAAACCAATCATCCAACAGCTAGCTTCATGTTAACATGTATAACAAAGCCTGAACGATTCCTGTTTGACAGAACTTTACCATGTAGTAATAAATAAGGCTGAATTATTGATGGTGAATAACTGCTAATATTATTATGACCTCAATTAAGTGCTTTTTTTCAGACACATTAGCAACAAAAGGTCTTCTCTTTGCTCGCTGCTCTTTTTTTTTTTCAAATTCCACTTTACATTAAAATCGAATTGATCAAACCTATTTGCCATTTCACTGTGAGTGGATAACCATAATGGGTAATCTATCAGCATGGTGCTCCCCTTAAAGCTATTAACACCTTTTGTTGTTTTACTCAAGTTTCTAAACGTGCTGAGAGGTTCAAAAAGGCAAACCCTACAATCTGTTMGGATTGCACAGAGCTGTGACTTGTGGCACTCTTTTAATTACCATACTTTTTTAACTCTRCGGTTAAATACTGATATTTCTGACACTAAGTAAGTCTTTATTTACTTATGAAGCTGTGAGACAGCTAAATTAAAGCTGATTAGCAAGATGGCAGCTCTGCTGCTTGCAGCTGAGGTGAGTTTAGCTGCAGCATGGCATCTCCCCACAGCTCGCTGCTTGACTCTTAGTCACTGGGGCTGAGATCACTCAGCAGCAAGACAAATAAAGGGAGCTTAGAGTTTTTTACCCTTTGGCAAATTGGCAAATTGTGTTAGTTACGTGGAGATGTGTGTACAATGTGGAGCAGTCTGTTTATTTGTGAGGGAGCTTTATAAAAGGCAGAGGGAGTTAATTTCTAGGGACAGCCTGTGTAGTGTGCATGCTTGGGGAGTTGTGGGATTACACTCATTAAAAAAGTGAAGAGCTAATGAAATAATCAGAAGACTGAATAAACTGGAGAATACAAATATAGACCAGCTGTCTCAGCAAGGTTGTCTTTCCTTTCACCTGAGTCTGTTGAAGATGGCTGCCCTTCTATAACCATTCATCAGGTTTGAGCACCTGGATTTTGGAGAGTTGCCTTATAATTATTTGTATGGAGCTGAATGATAAAAGATAGAGGAAATTCCTCATTACCCTGCTCAAGTGAGGCCTAGGCTAAGAGCCCTGGTGGTAGAATGCTAGAGCAATGGCCAAGTCAAAGTATGTGGTGCCTGTGTTCATCAGCACAAAACCCCGGTAATGTTCTTGGGTGAAAATCTCAACAGAAAAGTCTGGACAGAAAAAGCAGGAGAATCCTTTATTCCTGTTCCTCTTTTTATTTATTTGTGTGTGTGTGTGTGATAAGGAGGTCATACTGTGGTTTGTTCTTTTTATTTTGTTTTTAATCCTTTCTGTTCAGTGGCACCTCTGGTAGCTTTAATGAGTGTGTGCTATGCATGGAGAAGCCCAGCTGAAGATTTGCTGCCTCCATGGTTTGTGTTATGGGAAGGAGCTGCTGTCAGCCCAGAGCAGAGGCTCCTGTTGCACTGTGGGTTCAGGAGAAGGGGGAAGCACCTCGGTGGAATCCTCTGTGCAGGGTTTGTACAGTGYGTGTGTGTTTGGTGAGAAAGCACAGTTGATTTTCCATAGCAGGTTAGGGGGAAAGTCTCTGCCTAGCAAACAAAATGCAGCCCTGGGACCATGCAAGCCTGTTGCCTGTGACAATTCATGTGAAGGTGACAGTCTCATGAGTTCATTCGTAATCATTCTTACATCAAATTCTCTTAATTGCAGAGTGCCCCAAGTGAAGACAGAGATCCCAGCTCATTGCTGGCACAAGAAGAGTCAATGGCTCTGATTTAAGCCAGGTTACACCTTTTATGACGTTAATGTCAGCAGTGGCTTGGGTCCTTTTTACTTCTACTTTACACAGTGAGTCAAAAGCAGGGTGAAATGAAGAAATATTTGTGTTGGCTTCAAAACCTGATTGAAGATAAATTGCTGTTAAGCTCCATTTCTGTCTAGCTGTTGATACATGTAATATGGCAAATTAATTAAGAGCTTATACTCACAATATATAGGGATTTCAATTGTTTTAAAGTGGTGGTTAGTCTTTCAGCAACTAGAGGATACACACGACTGAGTTATTCTAGCAGATCAGTGCTTCCAGAAGCATGTTTAGTTTACCACAGTTGCAATTTCTT